AAGATCAATTGAATTCCTTATTCTTAAGGCATATGAACATAAATTCATAAGAATTAACTTCGAATAATCAAAGTTAAGTCGAATCTCTTTTTGCTCACGCAGTTCACCTAATGGGTATCTCTTAGTCCATATAAATTTACGTATGTCACCAGAAGTGATTTTCAGTTGCGTCCAAATATTAAATTATTACTGAATAAACGAAATCAATTGGCTGAACCAAATGCATAAATTCCAAAAAAGTCATTTGAAAATAAAATGAAAAAACGAAAAAGAAAACATAATAATAGTTAATGGCATTAGTATAAACTAAAGTCATAACATAAACATAAACACAACATAAATTCCAATCAATGTGAAACTAATGTGCTAATGACAAGGCAAAAGAGTTGCCAAACTCAATAAATACCAAATCCTATATGGAGAGCCGATCGAGGGATCCATAAATGATGTCATGCCAAACTAAGCTCTCGTTAATGTGGGCGCGCATCATCTGTTGTTGTTGTTGTTGTGTCTCACACTAAGAGCTTTTGTCCATCAGAAAATGTGATTTGGCGCTGCTTTTGTTAATTGTTTACATTTCGCCTTCGGCTTTCAAATAAAAGATATACAAAACTATATATAAAGCAAATGACAGTTAGACAGCGAGAGAGAGAGAGAGATAGAGTGAGCGAGACAGACTTTATATTAATTGCAAAATCATGCAAATCGAGAAACAAATTATATATGTTCGAAAACGAAGACAGAAACCGAAGATGGAAATTAATTGCCAATATCAACGCATTTGAACACAATAAAAAACGGAAAAAAGTTAAGTCACATATGTGTGTTAGGGCTGGCTGCATATGCTTATGAATCTTTTGATTGTTTTTTCTTTCAAATTTGTTATTAATTAAGAGTCATTTATTAAACAACTCGCAGTCGGAAGAAATCGAATAATGCGAATTCATAGACACAGCGGCATGGCTTTGTTGCTCCGTTTAATTTATAACTAATTAATATGCATCAATATTTTATGCACACACACACACACACACACACGTATATGCACTGGTAAGCGAGACAATGGAATACAGAAATCATAAGAAAATTTATGACCATATTTAGTGTACAATGCGGGACAGATTGCATACAAATGTGCTTACATATGGATATATTCGTATATATATTTATAAATTGATCGAATATGCCTTGGTATTTGCGTCAGTTCGCAGTTAGATAAAATGTAATTAGTTTCACAGGAATTATAATTGCTCTATATAAAATTTATAGATTCTTTTGCTCATATATTATATAATAATTTAATAGACTTATTTGTTTCTTATCTCTTGGAAAATATTAACAAATTAATTAACAAAAATGACATAAAACCTATAAAATGACAACTAAACTATATAGCTATAACTCATAAGTGTCCGGCTTTCGAATGGATATGACAAGCTTTGTATTGACTATCTGATCTTGTATTATTTTAGTGATCTTAATTATAATGTGATTACAAATACTTAAGGCTCTGTTACATCTAACATTTGTTAATATAATTATTATGCAATGAGTCTATTGTAGTGCTTATATATATTATTGAGCTAATGGATGTAGATCGTTTAATTCTTAGACTTAGATATTATAAATGTGATAAGCATGTTCGCAATATAAGCAATTTTTTAACTATGTAAAGACTCTCTGATTAGTCAAGTCTTAAACCTTAACATTTTATGATTTATGATTCTTATTGCAATATTCACTCTCTATGATATAGGTAGGTAAATATGCATAAATATATTAATATTATTTTTAATTTATAATAACTCTTATCACTATACTCTAACGCACTTAAGCTTTTAGAGACTTCCTTCAGTTGTTAATTAAATCATACTTAATCAGCTTTGCTAACAATGTAGCAAAAGTCTTGTTTATGAACTTACGATTTAAAAAACAGCGTATAATATTACAATTATAATTAATACAAAGTAAGCTTCAATATAATTATACTAATAAACCTATACTCTAGCTGAGCACATATGGATCGCTTCACTTTTGTATAGAGTATGTGTTTTTTGAGCATTTCATATAAATATCTGTCTCTCTCTCTCTGTCTCTCTGTATTGTTCTTACTCTCTCATAACTGCATCTATTATATATAATCACATTTTGTAAGCAAATATGTTTTTTGCTTTCACAATTAGCACGCTTAACTCTTTTATAGAGTATCTGTTAGTCGACTATTTTGGTATTCTTTAATAGCCTCTGCCAACATTGTAGCTAACGTCTATCACTACTTCTGTCAATAATTACCAGCCAGTCGAGTGGTTCTGCTATATGGCTAATAAAGTATTCTCTTAAACCGATTTTAATTTCAAATTGACTCATTAGGCAGCCGTGTCTCCGTCCCTCTTGCTTTCTCGCTCTCACTCACTCTCCCTGTCTGTCTCTGTTACTCTCCGTATAGAGTTGTAGTGCGCGCTCGCTGTGCTTACCCACCCGGAAAGAGGTTTCGCGCAAAACATAATAATCAGGCATAAACTGCACTTAGGCTGGAGACTGGAGACTGGAGACTGAAGACTGGCTTGAGAGCTGTTATTTAGTTGTTGTTTTTGTTGTTGCTGGTCAGCTCTAAGTGTATGTGTGTAGTCGGTGTCCACGGGCTGCTCGAAGTTGATTAAAAAGCGAGTGCACGAGGCGCATACGTTGCTTAATTGTAAATTGGTGCGCGCTTTGCAGCGGGCTAAATTATAATTTCATGTTCACAAGCACATTTGCACGCACTGTAATTTACTTAAGCATTCTGCCGCTATCCATATAATCACCAGCTGCCTGGCTGTCCGTCTGTCCTGCGGACTGTGCGAAACTCATAATTTAGCTGACACGCCCATTAACAACAGCCCCGATCCGAGAAACAGCAACAGTCTCAGCCAGCAGCCAGCAGCCAGTGGAGGGAGCCTTTGTTGGGTGGCATCGCGTCAGTTGCTCCATCAACAACAGCGCAACGTGCCGACACAATTTAAATTATATATAACATGCATTAGCGCATCTTCAGGCACTGAACAGGCTCCTCATGGCGGCCATAGAGGGGAGCTACAGAGGGGAGTTAGGAATATCTTTAGGAGCAGGCTACACAATCTAGATAATACTTGTTTCAAGTAAGTTTTTATTAAAATTTCTTTTACATAACACTCATTATAGAGCTATTCCTTGGAGTCGTATTATCTACAAATAAATATTTGTAATATTTCAGTATGGGCTTTGTTGAGCTTCTTTTGACTCGCTTTGATTGCCCTTTATGATTCGGTTTTCTAGTTCTGGTTTTTTCTAGTTATTTAAAATTAAATTTCAATTTAATATTTTATAAAAGAAAACTTTTTTGAAAATGTTCATATTATTTATTTTCATAAGTTTATGACTTCGAATTAAATAGTAATCGAAAAAAAGTAGAATTTTAGCTGTAACTCCCAGTGATGTGCGTTGTTTGACGGGTGAAAACATTTCAAAAGAATTTTGCATTGATATTTGTAATTTAGCAGTAAATAAGAGCTCTTTAATGAAATGTATTCGACTGGGAAATACTCTAAACTGAGCTTTGCGCTGCTCGTTCAAACGTTTTCTATTTCTTTCTCAAACTCTGTGGTTTTTGTGCAATAAAATAAAATAAATATATTTCATTGCCCTATTGTTGGTATCCATTTATATACATAAATTGATGTTGATGATTCATAACTGAAATCTGCATAATTTCTATAAACTTGAAAGACTTTATTTTTCATCTTTAACTTCTACAACGTTCAAGCTATGATTTATGAGCAAAGTAGGTTCAATCCCTTATGAATTCTTGTCCAAATGTAAGTAGTATGTAGAAGGAGGTGTGACTGAAATATATATATTCTAGATAAAGATGACGAACTGAGTCGATTCACCCATGACCAACTGTCAATTCCTTTGTCCGTATGTTTGTCTGTACGACCAAGAGATCTCTTAAGCCTCAAAAGCTTGAAGCTGGAGCAATTTTGATAATAATACATTATTAAATAATATATCCTTGTATACCATAAGCAGTACAAATATATGACTTTGGTTTTATGACATGAGCTTAAAGTCCACAAATTTACTAAAAAATTCCCTCTGAAGCTTACACAAAGATTGGAACGTTACAATTTTCTCTAGCATAACCAACTGCAGAGTTAAGATACAATCTGTATCTCATAACCAACTTTAAATATGTCGTTTATGTACTATAGAAAGATCTAAAGTTATTCAATAATTATTATTTCATTGATTTATTCAGTATACCGTAAAAATTCGTTGATGTCATAGAGTCTAAAGATGGTATTAGTTCAATTATATAAATATCATATGAAATCTTCTATTAGCTAGCAAAACTTATCTAAACTTCATAGCCAAGTGTCTAATCAAGAGTAAATATATCTCATAGCACGTTTCTCTCTGCCTATTCAACTACTTCATATCCTTTTGTAGAATATTTTTTTTAATAAAAAGTATTTTGAAATATGGCTATATATTCTCGACACAGAATGATTTATAAATTTGTCGCAGCTTAAGGTTATTTCGGATCTTTTAGCTCTTGTAATTAGCGAACACTGAACATCATCTGAAGTGAAGCTGTTAGGAAGGATGAACTGATTTAATAATTTCACAACTTTTGTTTCGTTTTCTTTTAGGTTTTTGCGAAAAAAAAGAGCTTGATATAGTCTGTGCAAGAAATATTCTAGCCGGAAGCCATACGCTGAGCATTGACTGCTAAATAAAAACATGAGTTCAAGTTGTGAATGGGAAAATTTCCGAATATTTTGGAGCAGAGCCGCTGGCAAATTGGAAAAATATGCAATATTTGACATGAGGTTGGTTAGAATCGATGCCAGCAGCGTGTACAATTGACTGTCGAAAGGTGGCCGAAGGGCATATCAACTGGATTTCAATCAGCATATCAAACACACAGCTGTTATCCGACGAGCCTGGGGCTCAGCTTGTCAGTTGGTTAGGAGCAGGCAATAAAAACAACAATTGAATATTTGGGGAAAGCTCGTGAGATGGGGAACTTTATTTGGTTTGAGCTGTTGTTGGATTGGAATTAGCGCGTAAAGTCGCCGCACTTGAAGCATTTGCATTCAGTTGGCTCCCTCAGGCGAATGTCCATGGTGGCCATCTCGGGGGAGGAGAGGCGGGTGCCGTCCGGGTCGTAGCAGTGGGTCAGCGTGATGACCTTCTCCTTGAGAAAGCTTTCGCGGCAGCAGTAGCACTCCTGGGCAAACATAAGTCAGACTGGGAGCTACATGGGTGCAGATAGATAGATGGCATACTCACTTTCAGAAACCCCGTTGGAGTTATCACTGAGGGCTGCACCTGACTGTTGCAGAGGCCCTCGCACTTGTTGACTATGACGTCGGCGTTGCAGGTGCGCTGCATGCGGCCCAGCTCGTCGAACTCCTCCTTGATGAGATGAATCTCGGACTTGAGAGTCTCGCAATTCTCGTCGCCGGTGCCCTGGCTATAGCGCAGCGCCCTCAGGCATTGGGGCAGGACCACTGCGACGACCAATAGCAATTCCTGGAGATGCATGCTCGACGGCTTCGCACTTGACTGTTGACCCTTGCCCAAACAGTTGGTGCTTTTATAGAGGTCCCGAGCGCCGGGCGTGCCGGGTCACTGCTGCAATTCGATTTGATGGGCTCGCTGAATGAATTATATGCGACTCTCTGATGGAATGTTTGTGTTACACGCCGCAGTTGGTCCCAGTGGAAAGTGGGCTACGTTGCGGTAGGACTGAATGGGCATGTAATCAGTTGTTGATGCTGATGTTGTGTTCTGTTGTTAATTGGTGCTTAAATCAAATGACTCTGCTACAACTTGCAAATGGCCCACAATTCTCCACTCTACTGAACCACAAAAAACCATACAAAGTGCAGCGATTTGATTTCAATGAACCGCAAATTTAATATGATTAAAAAAATTAACTCAGCTATGAGCTCTGATATTACTTGTTAACTCATCCGATTATGAACAGAGATTGATATTAAATTCGATCAATTTTCAATTAAAAATATAATAAAATGGAGATTTAAAATATACAAACGTCATTTTGATATCATTTCGATACCAACAACTGAGTTTGACTGCGAGAGGGGAAGATTGGTCTGAACTCTGAATCATATTTAACTGAAAGAATGGAATGCTTGTAGCAGCTGTGTTCAGACTGTCTCATACTCGAAGACTTGAAATATAACTAATCAAAGTTTATAATTTCTTACGAAGAGCATATGAAAGTTGAGCTTTTATCGATCACATAATTAATTTTTCGTACCCCAAAGTCTCAGGATCTGGCCGCTTTTTGAACTGAAATGTTAGATTTATTTTATCACATAAATTCTATAAATGGCCGTAAAGCATTCATTTTACTTGAGACTGTGGAAAAATGTTAATGGAATGCATTGCTAATAAAATGACAAAATAACTAGAGGCGTGTCTTTCAATTATTTGCCATCATTCTCAACATTCTGTTCGTTTACATGAATGAGTCGAAACTACAAAGACTTGAATAAAATATACGTGACGGCGCGTATCTTCTGGAACTTCAGGTAACTTAACCTTATTATCGGTAAAAATGTATAATTTTCAAATTTTTATATCGTGATTTTAAATTTGCTGTGTCGACTCTTAACTCTCGACTCCACCATTTCCAAAATTAAAAAAAAAACTTGTGCCTTGGAAAATTTATGTATCAGCATTTCACTATTAGCATTCTTAAGAGAGTCCATCTAGAACAAAAAATAATCAGCAAATGATTTCCCATGGTAAGACGCCTAGACCTGCCGAAGCGAAAAAAATATTTGAACAGCGCATAACTCATTTGGTTCGTGTTACATTTGTGGCCTTAATCAGAAGCAGACTTGTTATGTACATATGATTTAGCCAGCTTTACATCGGGCTCATATACACACAGCCACACATATACAGACACATGCAAAACTTCCATCTGCGCCCAAAACACTTACTGGAGACATCCCCCAAAACACTTTTCGTGGCGCTCACGTTAACCAAATGTCTCGATGGAAGTTGAAGTCTGCCCGCCAGTTATCGTCCAGCCCCTGTCGTCTTCGCCTCGCCCAACTCGACCCGATCCAGAGCGACCCGGCCCGGGCCGGGAATATGGCTGCGCTTTAGAATTATCGACGCAAACGCAAAAGTCTCAATGGCGCAGTAAATTATGTTTTATTATGCAATAAAGTCAACCATAAAAATGCTGCAATAAATTAAATTAACTACTAAAAATGCTGATTTTATTTTTTGCCCCTGTTGCGCCCTCTTGCAAAAATGCCTCGGTTTGTCCTGGCCCAAATAAAGAAAGAATAAAAACAACTTTTTGCATTTTATTCGGGCTCGTTTCGTTTCAGACCTCTGTTTGGGGGAACTTGTCTATTCGCGGCTTTTGTGCAGAATTTTTTGTTGCTTTTCGCTTAATATTATTATTGTTTATTGCTCTCTGGCAGATGTTCCAGCTGCTACTCGAGGCATGCCGATCTGAGAAGAGCGTTCGAATCAATCAGCTTTTCATATGACGTAGCTCGATTTAATAATGTTGAGTTTATCCATGATTTGGCACCAGATAGTGAACATATAAATTTATAGATCTGATTATGAAAACTAAGTCTTAAACATTTCCATCTCAGCTATTGAATTGAAGCTTTGAATCAATCAAATCTTTCTAGTTGCGTTGATCCAAAGTTAAGTCTAAACGAAACGACGCACAGTGGGCCTTTTTGTAATTTGTTGTTATAAAAATGATAACCTTACAGCGAAGCAATATATATTATTTAAATGGCAAATAAGTGGGAGTTTTGCACGTTTTAATCTGAATCTATGCACCCTGTGCTGTATTAACAGGGTGCGTCACAGTTTTCTTTCAAAGGTGAGAAATGTTATTTTGATCAATTAACAAATATTTCAATTGCAATTAAATGATGTTTTTCAATTTTCTTTTTCGTAAAAATTTATTAATAATATTATTTTATTATTTATAATTAATTATTTATAAAATTAATTGATTTAAAAAACCATCAGAAACGCTCAGTCAAAACTAGTAATATATCTGGATAGTCGATGCATTCCTTAAGATTTATCAATAAATCGCAATTTAATCCTTGCTATATTTTAATACAGTTAAAAAAGCCTTTTAAATATAAAACTTTACTAAAATAAATATACTTAATTTCAACTTTCAGGTTTAATAGAAATTTACTGAGCATACTCAATTTATATGTGAATTTATCACTAATTATGATTCATTAACATGATTTACATTGCAAACTACAAATGTGCAATTGTTAATTTATTAAAAAATAGCAACGCAGAAATATTTAGAAAAAAGTACACATAGAGAATATTAAGTATTATTATAACATATCATATTATATTAATATTTAAAAATTCTTAAGATAATTTCAATGCAGTTTTTCTTCATTACCTTGAAACCTTTTGGAACGTTTGTTATATTTGTTAAGACCTTTTTATATTTTTAATAACATAACATATCTTGGGATACTCTTAAGAAATGAAGCATTTCAGTTATTAAAGAATCACAATTAAAATACAGTAATAATATTATGTGGAATTTAATAAAATGTTTGAGGCTCAACTAAGCATGAATAATGTTATTTTCTTTTGTAAATATTTTCTACAATAATAGCAATATATATACTTATATTTCGCTGGCTGTTCATGAACAAAAACGGCAGAGTGCCTAAACTTCAAAGGATATCTTGGTATAGAGGAGAGCACGGTTTGCAAATAAATGGCTTCCAGGCTTTTCGGCTTGCAGTGGAAGCGGATGCACACGACTGATAAAGCGAACAAGGAGCCCATATGGAAAAGTAACAACAAAAGCGCAATGTTTTAAATAAATAAATAAATATGACACATAAACACAAAGCGCTTGGCAAAAAATAACAAAAAACAATGGCACGACAGCCAGTTTTTCAAAATGTGTGCGAAACAGGGCAACAATAATGAAAGGCAAAATAAAAAAAAAAAAAACAAAAAAAAAGAAAGAAGAGGAAAAAAAAACATTGAAAGCCAACCGAGCGAGCGACAGGGCCCGACAGTTAATTCCGCGAAAGAGGAAATTACAATTCATGCCCTTTGGCGGGACTCCATGATTATCGGATCGAATTAGTGTCTGCCCGGACCTGAGCCGGAGTTCGAGCCTGGGATCTGGTCTCTGGTATCTGGTATCTGGTATCTGGGCCTGCCTTTGTGTCGCTCGCACGAGCGTGTGTGTCGGACTATCTGTGAATTGTCCTGGGGGCACATGTGCACACATTCTTTATTGCCGGCGTTTGCAGCTTGCCCCATTTGAATGAACTTAGCAATTCATTTGTTGCTGCTCTCCTCCTCCGCCTACTGCTCCACTCGTACACTCTCTTTTGTTTCAATTCTGTTGTCACTGTGGCCCACTCTCTCTCTGAACAAAACAGACACCACAGAGACTCTGCCCACTGGTGTTGCTGCTGTCAGTTTCAGAATTGGACTTTTCTCATAACGTTTTCAAATGTTTCAAATAGTCAGAGTATAATTAATTTACGTATTAAATCTTTAAATATTTCACATTGCCAAACTGACTTTTAACCAAGCAGAACCATTGAGCAAATATTAATCCTCTTGCATATACAAATATTATTTTGATCTCCTCTCAGACTGCAAATAAGTTTACTTTAGCTAAGGTTAATCATTATTAAAAGCAAAAAGCAAATAGCACAGGTCCTTGACGTATTTAGTTTGAGTCATAAATCAGAACCTAAGTACTCTACACTCCGTCTATACTCTTAATCAAACATCGTTTCTCAAGTTACTTTGAACAAATGATATTCGATATTTAGTAAAAGTCTTGTCAAGATGTCGATATTTAGTAAAAGTGTTGTCAAGATTTTGGTTACTAAAATGTTGTGATTGTTTTAGCCTTACACAATCTTAAATCTACTTGAATTAAACAAATAGATTTTTGATACCTATAAAATTAACTTTATTAGATAGAATATTTCATGACTTTAATGATTTAGTATGATTTTCTTTATAAGAATGCCATGTCTGGCGCATAGAGAGCGCTATATGAATCAGCATTTATCACAATCTTGAGCTTCATATTTTTTTTTTCTATCGGATTTAGGTGTATCCATAATAAAATGTCAAGCCTAACTCAACAAAGACGAACTTTTACCTTTTGAATGGGTTGTCAAATGAAGCAGTTTTAGCAAGTTAGAATTGTGAAACTGTAAAATGGTTGATTAAAATCGATATGATTCGTTATAAACGATATTTAATATTTCACTACGATATATGTTAACTGAATTTTAAGCAGCATGGTTACAATGCTTCAAATATGAATTGCAATAAATGCTTCAATAAATATATAAAAAATATATACATTTGAGACGTATTTATAGCTATCAACTTATCTCAGGTTCCTTTGTTGAATACATTGAGTAACATTCAGTGACTTTTTGTATAAAATGAAAATATGTAAAAGTGTAGTTAGTTAATTATATGTGTGTTGTATTAGGCTATTTAACCGCCTTTGGGCTTTGGCAACTAGCAACTGGCAACTGGCAACTGACAAGACCTGACTCATTACGGCGAAGACATGTGTTAATTTATGTAACTTTCCCGAAATGCCATTGTGACGTTCATAAATCATTTTTGTGTTTCTGTGTTTGCTGGCCTCTGTCTGCCGTCTGGCCGGGTCAGTGCCTACTCTTTTATGTTATTTTTAGTTAATTGTTTGCGCTGTAAAATGTTTATGCGTTTTGCCAGCAACAACAATAAACAGTGCCTGCCTTTGGCCTCTTTGACTAATGTCTGCCGC